CTGCTCCTCCTCATCCTCCTCCTTGTCCTCCTCCTCCTCCTCCTTCTCCGCCTCTCCTTCTCCTTCTCCTCCTCCTCCTCCTCCTCCTCCTCCTCATCCTCCTTCTCCTCCTCCTCCTCCTCCTCTTCGTACTCCTACCTGCATCAATGTTTCTCCTCCTGCTCTCCATGCCCTCCTCCTCCCCTCCTCGTCCTCGTTGTCGTCGTCGTCGTCGTTACCATCTCCATTCTCCGCCCCCTCCTCCTCTCCACCTCCTAGTCCTAGTCCGCATCTTCGTAGGATGGCTCCAATGAATCCTCGCCCCCGTTGTCCTCCGCCTCCTCCTCCTCCCCCTCCTCCTCGTACTCCCCCTCTTCTTCCTCCTCCTCGTCGTCGTCGTCGTTCCTCCTCCTCGTCCTCCTCCCCCCTCCTTCTCGTCCTCCTCGTCCTCCTCCCTCCTCCTCCTCCTCCTCCTCTCCTCCTCCTCCTCCTCCTCCTCCTCCTCCTCCTCCTCCTCCCCCCTCCTACTCCTCGCCCCTCCTCCCCCTCCTCCTCCTCCTCCTTCCTCCTCCTCCTCCTCCTCCACCCCCTCCTCCTCCTCCTCCTCCTCCTCCTCCTCCTCCTCCTCCTGGTGATCGACGAGGATGCGCCACATTTGTGATGGCCAGCCGCGCATTGTCCGGGCTCCTTTGGCCCAGCAAGAATCCATGCAACAATTCGCTGCAGCACGTCTGCAGGGTCAGTGCCGTGACATGTTTGGAACACCCCGCCTTCAACCCGCCTACTACTACTACTACTACTACTACTACTACTGCTACGACTACCACTACTACTACTCCCACTACTACTACTACTACTACTACTACTACTACTACTACTACTACTACTACTACTACTACTACTACTACTACTACTACTACTACTACTACTGTGCGCAGCGTGCAAGCCCACATTTGTGATGGCCAGGGCGCACCGTCGATCGTCGATCGTCGTCGTCGACGTCGCCGTCGTCGTCGTCGCCGTCGTCGCCGTCGTCGTCGTCGCCGTCGCCGCCGTCGTCGTCGTCGTCGTCGTCGGCGGCGCCGTCGTCGTCGTCGTCGTCGTCGTCGTCGTCGTCGCTCGAGGGGCCGTCCAACCGACAGCAGGTGGTCAGCGAGCAGAGGTCAAGTGAGAGTGAGAGTAAGAGTAAGGGCAAAAGTAGGAGTAAGAGTAGGAGTATGAGTAAGAGTGAGAGTGAGAGCAAGAGTAAGAGCAAGAGTAGGAGTAAGAGTAAGAATAAGATCAAGAGTAGGAGTAAGAGCAAGAGGTCAGCTGCCGTCAGCTGCCGTCAGCTGACGGCAGCAGACTACATCTACAACGGCAGCTGACGGCAGCAGACTACATCTGACGGCAGCTGACGGCAGCTGACGGCAGCAGACTACATTGTGAACGGCAGCAGACTACATCTACAACGGCAGCTAACGTCAGCTGCCGTCAGCTGCCGTCACTCTGTCACCTGCCGTGAACGCTGTCAGCTGTGCATCGCTGCCGTGAACTCTGTCTTGATGTAATTGGCCGCTCTGCCTCCTGTTGCACTCGCCCGAGCATGGAACCACATGACGCCCGTGTTGATGTTCATAAACGGCTGTAGCATTGCTGTGGTAGGCGTCCTCCAGATCGATAGGTCTTTGCCGTCTTTGAGGTACTGGTTGAGAATGCGCCGAATCTGCTCGTCCTTCGCATGCTCATGGAAATCGGCGTAGGAACCAACATAGCCTCCGAGCGCTCTCTGCTCTGAACGAGTCCAACCACGACTCGATGAAATATCCTGAAGACCTCGAGGAACCATCTCGTGGTATAACATGCCAGTCGCGCATCCCAGCGCGAGCGTGCCGTCGAATTCACCCATGAATATGCATTGAAACCCTTGGGCTGTTGCTGCCGCACACATTGCCACCAAATTCAAATAGCCTCTGGTGCATACGAAGTCTTGGGGATCTAATGGACCACTGATGCTTGCACGAGCGACCAAAGAATGGCCTCCGGCCAGATCCTGAATCTGGCCGTCATCGCTAATCCACAAAGACTTCGGCGTGCATCCTGGGACGTGTCCGAGAGGTGCCAAGACCGCTGGTGTAATGCCTGACTTTATGTAGTCCTGGCTTCGGCAAATTGAAACGATGGTGCCCTTGGGAATTTGGCCAACCAACGCCTCGAATATCATGGTCTCGTAGAACCTGCACTTGTCCAAGTGGCTTGGAGCCTCGCCCCTGTTGTAGCGTTGCATAAGATGCCCCAAGTAGTCGCGCGTGTCTGGCGGTGGCCACACGCACGACTGGATCACTAGCGATGGCTTGTGTTGAACTTCACTGTCGTTGTAGACTTCGAAGCTGTTGAGCTGACGAATGCGAACTCCGAGGCTGCGTAGAGCGGGTCCAGCGTGACTCTCCATCACCGCCGCGTCCAGATCCGAAGCGATCCACCCTGTCAAAGTGTATGGCCCCGCTTGGTTGATGTGGCTAGGGTCCTCAGCCATGATGATGAAACCACGTTGGCTTTGAACTCTGACGCGACCACTTTGACCACTTGGCACTTGGCACTTTGCACCACTTGGCACTTTGGCTTTGCACCACTTGGCACTTGGCACTTGGCACTTCGCACTTGGCACTTTGGCTTTGCACCGCTTGGCACTTGAACTTGGCACTTGGCACTTGGCACTTTGCACCACTTGGCACAACTGAATCCAACGTTAGAGGTGAACAAGGACTTCACGTTGGCAGAAACGATATGAAACAAACTCTAAACTTGAACCAACAATATGGTCTACGGAGGAGGAAGAGGAGGAGGAGTCTTCTCAAGGGCCTCTGAGGAGGCCTCCTGGGGCCCGTGCCGCGGGTTCGGCCTGATGTCATCAGAGGGGGCCGCGTGCCCACCGACTCCGCTGGATCTCCCAGCAGCCCACGATTGGCGACAGTTTTTCGGTTCGCAGCCCCCGCGCTTGCACGCAAGGTCAAAATGCTAAGGAGTCCGTCATCAGGTTGTCCCCAAGCAGTGCTTGCACGTATGGCAGGCATGCAATGGAGGCCATCAGACATCTTTCCCCAGGCAGTGCTTGCACGCATGGCAAAAGGCTTGCAGGGTGCCCATAATCCCAAAATAATGGCTGCCCCTCCCCAAGCAGTGCTTGCACGTAGTGCAGAAAGGCCATGGGGGGAAGAATATGCCCATCAAGTATTATTCCCCGAGCAGTGCATGCGCGCATATCCCCCCCTCCAAACAGCGCTTGCCCCCCGCTTCTCGACCGCCCGCCCCGCTCCCAACAACTGCGGCCCGCCTCCCCGCTCGGCTGTAACCAACTTTCGTTGGCCCAAGGTTCAGGCAGCATCATTCATCCATCGCACAACTGGTTTCAGGAAACATTTCTCCCTTGCCCCCGCCGCCCGTCTTCTGGCACTTGCCCAGCTTCTGGGCCGAGCTTTTAGACGCCATGGTCGTCGTGCCGAACAGCCCGCAAGCGCCAGCCGGCGCTACTTGGGACGAGAGCCCGCAGGGCGCCGACGGCACCTACAAGATGCACGTGTTGCTGCCCGAGCTCAAGAGCTGGATCGTCCTGGATATCAAGAAACATGAATTCACCAGCTTCGGAGAGTTGGCGAACAAACGCGTTCGAGTCGAGACCATCGAGGGGGAGCTCTCTGAGCGACTTTCCAAATTCAAGGATGCCCCGTCCATCGATATCTACAGATGCAGCGCGGAGACGAAGCGCGGGAAAAAGCTGGAGCCGGACGACGCGGTGTACTACTTGACATGGCTCATCGCCTGGACGACCGACGCTGGCTTCGAGCCCGTTGATCTGGGCGACGGGCATCGCGCGGACAACCGCATCATTTGGGAGACGTACGCCCCGCCAACGGACACAACTAACATGGTCAAATTGATGGTTTACGTCGAACCGTGCGACGTGTGGGAGGAGATCTGGCTCCCAAACAAAGCGGCGTGCACCAACGCAAAGTACTTCACCAATGTCGAGGACCTGAAGAGCGTCGTCCTGGCCTTCATCAGGGCCGAGACCGAGTATGGCGAGGAGCTCGCGCTACCAGAGCACCAGCGGCACCTCCTGGAGATCAGGCTGGCGGAGGGCAGCAACCCGAAGGGCCCCGAGCTGGCAGACACCCGCCAGGTAATGGAGAACAAGTGGTATTACGTCACGGCCAAAGCCATGCAGTTAACCTTGGACGATATGGAGGCGGCGACTGGGTTACAGGCCGCGGCGGACGATGACATGCAATGATGTGTTTCTGAAAGGCTAAGGTCTTCAATACATGCGAGCTCACGCGCGCTGCGCGCCGGTGCAAGGTTTTGCGCTGCCTTTTGGTGCATGCGCCCTGTTACAGTACACCCTGCGCCGCTTGCCACGCAGCAGAGAGCAAGCATTCTTCACAAGAGACAGTGGTGATGAAGCCTCCAGAGGGTTTCAAAACAACCTGAAAACTGCGACGGCTCCTGAGGACGACGTGCATTACACAACATACTGTATCACACACATAACATGTATAATAACACGTGCACGAACATCAAAGACGCAACATCCCGATCTTGGAAAGAACCTGTGTTCTGATAGCTCTGATGACCGTTCTTAGGTTAAGATCGCGAGGTTTTGTGGATGCAATGTTTGGGGTAAGCTGTTCAAGGTAAACTGCCCAGGGTAAACTCTGTGCGGTGAGCTGTTTGGGCTCCAATCCTCTTTCTTCTCCCCGCTGTCTGGGGTAAACTGTCCGGGGTTAATAATAAACTGTTTGGGGTGCACAATTCGGGGTAAACTGTTTGGGGTCCTCGCCGTCGTCTCCTCCTCCCCCTCCATCCCGTCGTCGTCCGCCTCCGTCCGGGGAGCCCGTTGCATCCGCCCTCCCATCCGTTCCCTAGCCATTTTAGGCTGTTGTGGTGAGTGACGCACTTTGCTGCGCCGCAGGCAACTTTCTTCGACCTTGGCCCATCAGAGAGGTCTGAAGACCTCGCCTCCGACTCACCAGGTACTCCAAGCCATGGTGCGCGCCAAGGCCAAGGCCAAGGCGGAGGCCGAACCCCCGCCGACTTCGGAGGTGGCCAGCGCCGAAAGCAATGGCATTAACAAAGAGTTCCTGGCCGAGATAGCCGTGCTGTATGAAAAGATTTGCAGCCACGAAGTGTTTCGCGACCTGCGGGACGCGGGGGCCCTGGACGTCAGCTCGGCGGCCGAGGAGGGTGCTGGCGATGGGGATTTGGAGACGCCTGCCAAGCGCGCCCGCATGGCATCCAGGAGCGGCGGTACTAAGAAGACGAGCCAGCGCAGCAACATCCATGGAATGCAGGCGGCCTTTGATCTCGCTGAGTACCAGACTGCAATGAAACTTCACGGGACCTACCGCTGCGGCGGCAACGAGTTATGGTTGGATTTCTGGTTCACCGCGCAGCCAGGGGTGCCCTACAACAAGACTAGCATTCTCCAGCTCGCCGAGAAGAGCTTCTTTGAGCCCAAACAGTGGACGGGCACGAACGTGGCAATGGTCCCAGACCTGGCGCACAATCCGATGGAGCATCAGGGCGCCTTGCGCAGGCTCTCGCCCGAGGAGGTGAACTTCGCGCGCATAATCGGCATCGCCAATGCCATAGACAGGGGGGCCTCCAAAGATGTGCTCGAGGCGTTCAAGGTGGACCTCCAGTCCGCGGCGTTCCAGTTTGAGCTTCACGAGGGCGGCATTGACAACCCGTCCCACACGGCGATCCGCAGGTCAATCAATCTTCGAGAGCAGATGCGGCAGACGGCGAAGGCGGTTGGCCGCGACACCCTCCAGCGCATTTTCGAAGTGCTGCGGATTCGGAGGCTCATGGAGCAGAGCCGCGGAGCGGGCAAGGTTTCCAACGAGGCGCTGGCGCAATACTACGAGAACGAGATTAACTTGAGCACGGAGTCAGAGGCGGTGACCTCCACATTCATCAACCAGACATCGGTCGTCTACAACAACATCCTCAAGGACGGGAAAAACCTTGCCATCCTGCGCTCTCTGTCCGAGCAGTACGGCCATAACAACCCGCTCAACAGCATGACTAAGCTGAACACAGTGCTGACGAAGTGCGATAAGCAGCCCACACTGATCACTTGGGTCTTGGAGAAGATCCGTGACGTTGTCACTAGCGGCATGCTCGACGTTGGCGAGGTCTCCAATCGCGCTCTGAAAGAATCAGCTGGCGGGCACAAGGGCTTGGTGGACCTCTTCGTGATCAAGAAGCAGCTGTTGGTCTACCTGCTGGCGACGGACATCGACAGGCGCCTGCGCGGCTCCGGCAGTTCAAAGCGCAGAGACGAGATCGTCGACCTGCTGGGCAGCCACTCAAAGTACAGGTCCAAGCTGAGCCCCATCGGCAATGAGCCCGACCTGACGTTCCTCGCCGAATACAAGGACAGTGAGAAGATGACCATCCGCGCCTACGAGAACCTCATCTACGGTACGGAGTTCGACGCCCAACTGCGCTACTGCGCGCGCCTCAAGAAGACGCCGGATGAGATCGTCGAGACCGATGCCATCAAGGCCGAGCTTGACAGGATCGACGCCCAGGTGGCCTTGGAGCTGGCCGTTGACGACGTGGCACAAGCTCAGCAGCACGGTGTGGCGGGCAGCAGCGGCGCGACGCCGCCGACGGGGAGCGGCGCGACGCCGCCGACGGGGACTACGGGTGCCGTCGCCGATCTGGGAGCCCAGGTCTCGGATGACAAGGTGCCCATAGGGGCAATATCTTCTCATTCTTCTCCTTATCATCCTCCTTCCTCCTCCTTCCTTCCTCCTCCCTCCTTCCTCATTCCTCCTCCCTCCTTCCTCCTTCCTCCTTCCTCCTTCCTCCCGCTTCTCCCGAGGTGCAGATGTGGAGGGTCGTCGCGCGCCGCAGGATCGGCGAGAGCGCCAAGCTGATTTGCGACAGCGGCAGCAGCGAGGTCCCGCGGTGCGCCCAACAACAACAACAACGTCTTCCCCCTCCTACAAATCGTTGGAGGAGGATGGGACGGAGGGGGGATGGGGGAGGGAGAATGCGGAGGTGATGATGATGGGGGTGAGTCAAATTACCCCTGCAGGCCTCCTACACCTCCTTCACCTCCTCCTGCCCCATCCTCCCCCCTCCCCCCATCCCCCTTCTACTGCTCCTCCTCCTCCTCCTCCTCCTCCTCGTGGTCCTCCTGATGGATCCCCCCTCTCCTTCAGGTGGTCCTCCTTTTTGGGCCTTCTCCCGAGGCGGCGCTCGTGGCGACGCTGCAGGCGAGCGAGATCGCCAAACTGCCTGGGGACGCGTACGGGCACGTCCTGATACACTGCGACCTGGACCTGCTCACGGAATCCCAGACGGCGCCGCGCACTCGGCAGCCGCCGGCAAGGAAGCCCCAACTATCGCGCCTGATCAATTCCGTCATCGCCTTGCGCAAGGCCGCGAACCCAGATGACAACGGCTGCAAACTCATCAGAGGTGATGTCTTCCTCTTCCGCGACGGGGGCAAGCGTACCATCGCCGATTTCGTCAGCAAGCATCTCGTCGCTGGCAGAGGCAGGTGGAACTCTGTGGCGCGGCAGGAAAATCTCGTCAAGCTCTGGACTCACGTCATGATTTCCGAGGACTCCCTGAAGGAGCGCCGCTCGAGGGTTCGCGGCGTAGGGGCCCTCAAGCAGCTGACGGGCCTGCACGCGTGCATGTTTGCCGATACCGTCATCCCCGAGAAGGCGCGGTCCGTCTACAGCGGCACGAACATGGGTGACGTGTTGGGCCCTGTGGGTTTCCAGAAGTGGGCTGAGTCCTGGAAGTGCCCCCTCGATGTCAAGAAGGCGATGTATGGCGATAACATTCGCCCAGTGGGAGGGCGGAACCCTGGTGATAACGGCGACAGCGACGGCGATGAGGGCGGGGGCCCGACTACGGCCGCGGCGGCCGCCGCAGAAGACGAGGACGACGACAAGAACCGCCCCAACTTCCAGCTCGACACCGCGAACGGCAAGAAGAAAGCAGAGCCTGGCTTCTGGTGGGCCCTCCCAGTGGCCTACTACAAAGAGGTCAAGCATTCGTATTATGGTCGCCGCATCATCGACCTGAGCCCAGGCCCGGGCAATTTCTTGATTGCGACGTGGGAGGAGACGCCGCCGACGCCCTACATCGGCGTCTGCTTCGGGCCGTCCCACCAGGCGGAGCTGCAGGAGCACTTGGTGGACGAGTACCTGGCGAAGATGTGCACGGAGGGCCACCCGGTCTACAACAAGGACTACGCCAAGTTCAAGAACGAGTCGACGACGACGAGCGCCGCGCCTCCTCCGCCCCCTGATCCACAGCCCAAGCAGCGCGCCACCGCTGGTGCTAAGCGCGCGGCTGCTAAGAGGGCGGCTGCCTCGGCGGCGGCGGGCGCCGCGGCCGACGCTGAGGCGGATGCCGAGGCGGGCGGCGACGACGAGGGCGGCGGCGCCGCCGCCGCGGCGGTGATCAGCGCCACGGGTGGTGGTAGCCTGGAGTCGCTGCTTGCCGGCATACACTAGGCCTGGAGCTTTCTTTTTCTTCTCCTGATGGATCAGGGAAGCCGCGCCGCTGCCAGATTTTCGTTTGCTCTCACGGTCCATGGTTGGCTTTTAGGCTTTGAGTGCGCCGCGCTGATGGGGGTTCTATGCTGCTGCGCACTGGAGCGACAGCCAGAAGTGAGTGAGATGCATGTGCATTTGAACTGCACAATAGCCGCCTTTGCCAGACGCTTCTCCAATAACGACAGGTGAGTGAAGAGCGGCGACGACGACCACACAGGAGAGCGCGCCCTAACATGGAGCGGCGCAGAGTTTGCTGCTTTGTTGCCGCCCCGTCAAGCTGCGGGGGGGGGCAGGGTACTTGGCCTTGTCTCAATAAGGGGGTGCGCCCTACTATCGTGGCGCAGGGGGCAGGCGAGAACTCGGCTCTGGCATCATTCATTTCTCTGGCGGCGTGGCGGCGCGGTGGGGTTTCACGCAACGAGGCTCGCTGCTACCAGCAAGCAAGTTCCTCGTCTCAGGCATGCGGGAAGCATCTATGAGACATCGCTGGTGCTGGCGAGTTCAAATGGCCCCCCCCCTCCACCTCCCCAGGGATAATAAGGATGGCGAGGAGGGAGGGCCCGGAGGAGGAGGAGGAGAAGGATGAAGCGTTTGGAGTAGAGGGGGCTTCTGATCATCAAGCGCTCTCCACTCTAGGAGGACGGGTGGGCGATGGTGACGGGGAGGTATATGAGGAGGAGGAGGAGGAGGAGGAGGAGGAGGAAGGGCTGCCTCAAGGAAGGGAGAGAGCATCCGATGTCCCTGGCCACTGGGTGTCGTACTCGCAGTCGTCGCTGATGATGATGATGATGAGGTCCGCTGTCCTGCGGGTCTGGAGGGAAACCGTTTTCCCCTCATCATCCTTCCCCTCATCCTCCATCTCCTCCTCCTCCTTCACCCTCCTGCCGCTGCTGCGCGCGGCGCTCAATAATGCACATGCTCTCGTGCAGAGGTGAAGCAACGCGCTCTCCTGCATCTCCTCCTCCTCGCCTATTTCCCTGGACCACGGGCGGCCACCGCCGCCGCCTGACCTGTTATCCCAGACGGCCCGCCCACCACCAATGGTAATTCGCTCTTACTGGCTCAATCACGTAGACGGCTATACATACCAATTGCCTTGCCCATCTAGATTGGCGCACCTCCAACGGACTGCTTGCGTGACACCTCTACGACGATGCTATGCGAGTCCCCCCGAGAGCGCGGCCCGTCGTCGCGCAGGCGCCAGAGGTCGTCATCAATAGGCAGAGCCGGTCAGTCCGCGGTGGTGAAGGCCATGCGCATCACTGGAACCATCGCCCGATCTGCTCCGAAAGCTAAGGCAAAGGCTAAGGCGAGCCCGATGAAGCGGCCAGCAGCAAGCTCATCAGTTGCTCCCACTCCAAGTGTCGAGATCGGAGGGCTCCGCTTGGGGACCGACTTTGGGGGCATGGATACACCGCTGCTGGCGCTCAAGAAGGCGGGCTACAGGGTCAGGCACGTCTTCAATTGCGAGAAGAACTTGAGCTGCAATAAGCTGTCTGTCAACGTTACCAGCCCCGACTGCGAGGTCCGCTACAGGGACATCACCTCGAGGGTAACATATAACGTTCCCAAAGTCGACCTCTACTGCGCTGGAGTACCTTGCCGCACCTGGGCCCAGGGAGGGAACCAGGAGGGCTACGACAGCACGGAAGGCAGTCTGTGGTTCAACGCGATCGACTACATCAAACAGAAAACGCCCAAAGCCGCCGTGCTGGAGTGCGCCCCGACCCTGATGACCCAGAAGAAGTTCGAGGCGGACCGCTTACGCTTCATCAAGCAGATTGAGGACGGTGGCTACGAGGTGCACGCCACCCTCCTCCGGACGGACGAGCACGGACTGCCTCAGACGCGGGTTCGCTTTTACCTGGTGGCAATCAGGATCTGCGCGAAGAGGCGCCAATTCACGTGGCCCTTGCCGCTCACTCGCACCGTCCCCCTGAACAAAATCATCATGGGCCCCAAAGTCACCACGCTGAAGGGCATGCTGCCGGACAACCAGAGGGAGAAGGATCACGTCCTGGCGGCACTCCGCGACGCGGCCAAGTGCGACGTGAAGCTGACGGACTCCAGGATCATCGTCGACATCGGGGGGACGTCCCAGTTCGCTCACTACACGGTCGACGAGTTCCCCACCATTACGGCGACGCGGGCAGTGTCTTTTGCTTTCTGGGTCGCCGATCTTGGTCGGCGCGTGACGCTGGATGAAATGGCTCTGCTCCAAGGGTTTGATCCTGCTACGTTCAACACCAGGCGTGACGCGAAGGTGACTGATGCCCGCCTGGCGCACATGATTGGGAACGCAATGAGTCATAACGTGCTGGAGAGGCTCTTGCCCCGCGTGCTGGACTCCATCGGCATCCTGCCTGACGTCGTCAAGCCCGACCGCTGGGAGCTGCTCGTCAACAAGTCGAACGGCGGCCACTAGTAGTAGCTCCGTGCAGGCGCGAGGCTGTCGCATTTGAAGCTAGCTGGGCTCGGGTCATGCCGCAATTTTCTCATGAGTTGTTGGACATCCCGCCGCGCCCGCAGTAAGCATGAGTTCGGGTTCCAGCCCTATAGAGCGCCTCTCAGGTCCTCGGGCGTGTTGGTAGGACTGGCCCTGGGGCCACTCGCTACCAACACTCCCGTTCGTTCGGGAGCGTTGGGGGCCACACTGGAGAGCGCTACGCAAGCCCAGAACCTGTCCGAGAAGAGACTGGCCCGACAGGGGAAGTCCTTGCGTAGCGCCTTGCAGAGTGGCCCCCAACACTCCCGTTCGTTCGGGAGTGTTGGTAGAGGGTGGCCCTGGGGCCAGTCCTACCAACACGCCCGCGGCGGCTACTGCCGACAGAGCCCAGTCCTTATGAGGGTTTGGGTCGCGCGTGAGCTGGGGGAATCTCCTCGGCAGCAAGATGAGGCGCCCATGCCATATTCGGAGCGTGCAGGGATGTTATTGCCACGCTCTTGGAGCCCGCGCTGAAAATCGGAACGTTCGGGAATGTCGGAGGCCAGATTGAGCTCGAGAAAAAACATACCAAATCGGAACGTCTGGGGATGCTGGAAGCCATATTGCGTTCACACAACCCCCAAATCGGAACGTTCGGGAATGTTGGAGGCCAGATTGAGCTCGAGTAAAAAAACATACCAAATCGGAACGTTCGGGGATGCTGGAAGCCAGATTGCGTTCACACAACCCCCAAATCGGAACGTTCGGGAATGTTGGAGGCCAGATTGAGCTCGAGGAAAAATATGAAAATGATGATATCCAGACCAGTCAATAGCTTGAGCTTGAATTGGAGAACATCGTACCTCCTGATCGTCCTCCTTCTCCATACTACCCTACCTCCGTCTCCTTCTCCTCCTCCACCCTCCGTCCTCCCCCTCCTCGTCACCTTTCTCCCTCTTGCCTCGCTCGCGTCCGGGTGCATCTTCTTCCCCCTCCTTCTTCTTCCCCCACGCCTTTACTCTTCCTGGCCCTCCTTCCCGCCCCCCCCCCCCCCACGGGTGGATGTCCTGCTGGCCGTCGTCGTTGGAGACGCGGGCTGGGCCGTCGTCGTTGGAGACGCAGGCCTGCTGGGGCTGGGCAAGAAAATAAAATAACACATCATAACACTGGCTAACACTGTCATTGTCATCATCGCCATCGTCATCTACCCCTCGTCGGCTGGATTCGGCTCGTAATTCTCAACGGCGCTGGCCTGGGCCACGAGAGGTCCTCTGGGCCATCTTCCCATTCTTGATCATCACGGCCCTCATCGCACTCATCACCACACTCACCACCATCACCTCCAAGATCACTTGGCACGGGCCTTGTTGATTCCTCCGAATCATTATTAGCCATTTTGGGCTCAAGCGGTTTCACGTTTACGACGCCGTGACTCCACCACGTACATACAATAATAATATGAGCTCTTCTTCCGCTGAGGCGCTCGCCCAACAAGGGTACGTATGTTTCAACGAGTGCGTCGGTTTCACAAACGGCAAGCCATGTTTCCGGGAGCATTGCATCACGTTCGACGAGCACTCGGCCAAGGCAATCGAGGCCAATATCATCCGACAAGGCCGACTTCCCAACGCTCGCGACGGGAGGATGACAGACGTCCGGGCATGGTCATCTTCGGCAGAGTTGCCTAAGTTTGTGAGGCATGCCCTGAGCAAGCTGGCTCGCGCCACATGCATGACATCACTTCCGCCGATGGCAACGCACAATCCTGAGCACACTGGCGCCGGCCAACGCATGTACTACTTGTCAAGGGATCCCGCCATCATTCCGGATGCGCCACTGGCACATGTGCCCGCCGTTGCTGGTGCCGCTAGGTCGGCATCCCACGTGCTCGCGGAGGTGGGGGATACGCTCGACGCCCTTCAAACACATGGCATGGGCGTGACGGGAGGAGATGGTGCAACTTTGTCCTCAGACGTGAAAGTCGCGCTTTCACAACCTGCTGCCGACGATGGAGAGCCACCCCCTTCTTGGCACAGCCTGGGGACCTTCAAGGAGTTCAGGGCGTGCCGCCAGTTGGAGCGGGCGTCCGCCGCCAACAAGGCCTCCTCCTCCCCCTCCTCCACCTCCTCCTCCATCTCTTCTTTCTCCACGCCCTCATCTTATTTCGACTCCCCTACTCCCCCGCCTCGCTCGCGTCGTCTCCATCGCCGCCTCCTCCTCCTCCTCGCCTCTTCCTCGTCCCTCGTTCCTGCGGACTCCGCCCAGTCGTGGTCGTCTTCCTGTAATGTTATTGTCCCCCTGCCCCTCCTCCTTCTCCTCCGCCTCCCACTCCGCCTCCAGGAATCCGGCGTCGGCGGCATCGTTCCCCGGCGGAGTCGCTCCCGCAGTGGTGGCCGCGGGGATGCGATCGAGATCCTGGACGACTCCCAGGACCCCGCCCCCGTCTTCGAGACCCCGCGCGCCGTCATGCTGCCAACGATTGCGCGTGGTGCCAGCTGGCGTGATGACAGCCTCCCTGACCAGCCAGAGGACA